CGTCACGCAAAAGCTTAGAAATTCAAGCGTAGTGTATCACAAAACCAAGCACCCATTCGGAGCGAAAATTTGTATGAATATTAGTTTTCAGCTGTTCTTATACATCAGTTAAGTAAAATGTCAGGAAGATCAATAGTTTTGTAGTTCGAATTTTTGTGGCGTCATGTGAAAACCAGCTATATCCGAGAGTTGTGCTGATGCTGTGCCAATCTTACTTGAAAAATTAGAGAAATCAGATAACATGCAATTGATTCATTTACAATTTGCTGACAGGAAACTCAAGCTCCTCGTAGTCAAATTGTTAATTATTCCCTTCATTCTTCACGCTATATGCTGTCCGACTCGTCCCCAGTCACCCTTCCACCTCGCCCCTTGCCGCGCGCTGTATGAAGACAACTGGGAACGAGTCAGGTATGTTGTTTAGAAGAAGAGTCGTTGGTGTTACTTCATTTTCACCTTTAATTCATTTGTTTTTTTTCTCGCTATGATGAAATAAAGACCACATTAAAATAATTTAAATAATCTCACTACTTCAACCGTATCAGAGCGAGTCTTGCTATTATTTTTCGCGATTGACTTACCCTATGTAACAAATTCAAGTTGGTACAAACTAAATTCTCCCAGGAACAGCCATAGAAAATTACGGAAAATGTAAAGAGAAATTTAATGGCAATCGCCGGTGATAGTCAGCCTGAAAAAATTAATCTACTCACTACTGGGATTAAACGGTTAACCTATTACGACAAATTTAAACCTGCTTGCAGCCACAATAAATTTACACATGACCTCAGATACCGCTTAAAGGCCAGGCATAATAAATATACAATCCAAATAATGATCCAGAAAAAAATCTTTCATTAAAATGTTTCATGCTCTCGTTATTCTCTTTAAACAATGAGCACAGTTAATCTCTTGCAAATGGTTATCTCTGATTACAAAAAACACATTAATTACCTCCTCCAAACCACCAAAATCTACACTATACACTTTGAAACCCTAAATAATCTGACTGAATTGCGTCCTCTACATCTATGAGCCAATACAAAAAGCTTATTTCTTCCCATTTCTACTAGCCTTACAAATTGGCTTGACATGTCATTTAATTGTAAGTATCTCTGTGCTGAACGAGAAAAACATCTTCTAAACATTGGAAATCAGGACACAAAGAAAATTCGAGGGAAAACAAGACTACCTTCCCAACATGGTGCGTACAACATCAGCAGCAAAGAATCTAAAGGAATTCAAGCTAAGAGTTTAAATCCTCAACGGCGGCAAGAATAGCAACGTTGACTTCCATCAGATCCCTGCATAACGACGCGAAGGTCTGTAACGGGCCTGACATGACCAGAGAGCCGACATTTTTCTCCGCTACCTGCTTGCAATAAAAAGACACCAGACAGTCCAAGTTGTCTTCGTCTGAACTACCAAACGCTTCACCGTCAAGCTTCTCTCTAAAAGCTCGCACGAGAAGGATGGAACGTTCGATCTCCCGACCGGACAGCTTGTCCACGAGCAGTTGAACAGCGGAGTCTCTTGTGAGGGGTTTGTCGTCCAAGTAACTTTTGATGAAGGCGCTGTCCTCCGAGATGGGGTGCTCCAGAACAGAGGACACCTCTCGGCGAAACTCGCTCACCTCCTGTGTTAAATCGTTGACCTGTGAATTGAAGGAATATCAAATAGAAGACTTAACCAGGACGACTTCTAAACGAACAATTTCGACATTCTGAGACACGTGAAAGTTAACTCTGTCAACTCAAAATAAAATGAAATGACGGGAATTTTCCCGTCTTTGTGCACCGTAAATCAGAAAAGCGAGGCTCCAGTCCTATTTTTTCTCACAGCCGTGTTCCAAGGCATTCTCGTTTCGGGATTTTCCCTCTCGCCCGAATAATACGCATGGCCCTTAATCTTATAATCATCTCCATAATGATTGAGATTCTCTCCACGCTGTCTCGTAAAGCGAAATGACGTGATTATGATCCTAGCCACAACACTAAGACATACGAACAGAGGTTTTATTCACAATTAAACAGTGAACGCACATCAAGGCAGTTTTCTGATGACTGTAAAGAAGCGACAATCGATCCCATAACAACGACTCACTACAGCACGCAAACAGTCTAATGAACCAGCCAGGTGGCTGTTCACAAAAGCGTATTAAAACATGAGCATAAGTAACTACTTAAGAAGTCATCCATAACTTACCTCGGCCTGCCGAGCTGCTTGTACCAGAGATTCCAAGAGCCGGGCGTAAGTGCTACAGAAGAGTAAGAATTGAAAATGTGCCTTGTACAGACAGCGACATAGCTGCACCTGTCTCGCCTCTTGATTCTCAGGATCTGGTGACAGCCGAGTCTCGGGGTCCTCGTGGTGTGACCCAACAGAAGATCGCTTCACCGCCAGTTTGATCTCATCTAGGCACTCCAGCGTCCGCTCGCTCTTTTGTACGTAGCTTGAGAAATGTGAATGAAGTTCCAAGACTGCAAACTTGTGCCTATCAAGCAGCTTTGTTCGGTTTAGCGTCTCTGTATCGATGCAGACGAAAGGACAATCGCCTCGGGACACTAAAAACTCCAAGGTGTTAGAGAAGTGCTGGGCCACATCTCGGAATTTATCCTCCACCAGATAGTTACAGCATTCTCGTGTCAAACTGTAGAATTTTCTGCGCGTGTTCTTGTACAGACAACAGAACAAGGAGAAAGTGTTGACAGCAATAACCCCTGTGGTGTCTTTCACCAAGGCACCCACGTGGGCTGTCCATAGCTTCTCGGGCTCATCGCGTGAGTCCCACGTGATCTCAGTGACGGCGAACAGCTTGTACGAGTAGCTGGTTTCCGAAGCGCCTGGTAACGAGTCCGAGCTACAACAAAACAACATTGGAAGCTAATTTATAACTGTGGTATTTTACAATGCACAGTTCAACGAATTCCCATGTATTGACAGGCTGATCATAACGTGGGACATAACTACCAAAAAACACCTTTCCAGCCGCTTATGTGACCTGGCGAGGCAATAAGCACTTCATATTTACCTCTCGACAGATGGACTGCGGCTCTCTCTTCCCTGTTCCTGACTCTTAACGTCACTGTCAATCACAATTACAGTCACGTTAGGTGAAGACTCCGACGAGCTTTCCAGCGCTGTGGAGTTGTCGGTAACTACGGTCAGCGCACTAGCAGTTAAGGAACGAGCAAGCTGGAATGAAACGTAGCACAATAAGAGAAAACCAGACATCTTTTCTCCTTACGTAGATTTTACTCTCTTTCAATAATAGAGCTAGATTACTGGAAATCATGCGAGTTACTTTACCGAGAGTAATTCTGTTCGTCACCAGTTCAAAAGAATCAAAGGATGCTTTCAATCTCCAAGAAATGCAAAGTTAAGGAGTTGCAACGTGAATATTTACCAAAATAAAAGCTGTAATTTCAAATCGTAGATTGTAATTTGTCTCAGTCCTCGCCAATCGTAATCACCCTTGTTCGTTTTGCTCCATTATTACCTTAACAAGCCGAACAGGTTTTCTTCGACCTTAAGCACTTTAGAACACTTCAAACAGAAAGTGGCTCTTGCCAATATTGAACAGTACCTCATCGTCATCGTCAGAGGAGTCGTGTGGAGTCAGATCCTGCTCACTGCCCGACAGACACTCAAGAGTCTGCAGGTTGGATTTCATGTCTCGATCCAGACTTCCCACGTCCAAGCTACAGTAGGATAAGCGCCGATCCTCGTACTCAGGCCCCCACGACACGTCTTCGGCCTCGTCGTCGTACAAGAAGTCGAAATTTGTCAGCACACTTATCTGAAAGAAACACAATTCAGCCATGAAGCTTGTTTCTACCTTTTTGTTTTCTCTTTTGGATTTTACGAATGCGTTTTATACCGTTTTCATGCAACTCCAAGGCACCCATGGTCAGTTGTGTTCGAGCACAATTAAATTTTCGTCCTTTCGAAAACGAGTAATACAAGTCACATTTAACAATTATTTCACTGTTGGTTTAGTACACCCAAACCTGTGTAAACCCCCGAATCCTTAGACGACTGTTTAGTTATGAAGAGATGCATGTCACTACCAATTAACAAAAGGTACGGGATGTGTATGTGTGGCTACGTGTAAATATACTTAGACAATGCGATCCACTTCTTTGCAACATTGAGCAATAGTGAGACCGGGCGAGTAAATCATCCCTTTTTTCAAGCTGACCAATTTAAAATTCGTATCACTCAGGAAACTAAACAGAAGGTTTCTGTTTGCCATATTTATGGTAAAACAATATTTTCTGCTTATGCTGAATGAATGTTCAGAACGGACCTGTTGTGGTTCGAGTTCATCCTTGCCAGGCTCATTAGTCAGCCCTTCAGCCAGTGACGCCTCCTCAGATGATGGCTGTTGTCCGGCGCCTTGCTTCTCCACTGCCAGGTCACTGCTCGAGCTGAACACAACAGATGGGCTCTGCTTTAAGCCTACCGTGTGACCACATGTCGTCAAGACGTTCACGAGGCGTTCACGAGTACGACGCTAGAATGACAGTAAAAAACACAAACAGTAAGACAGCCTTGACCAACACGTATACACAGCCATTTTCAAAGAAATCACGCAACGCTAATCCAACGAAATGTTTCGTGAGCAGAAGTATCACGTCACGACAATGAGAGCGAATGCACGGACAAAATATCATGGTCCCTCGTGAGGCAAAGGGCTTCCACCATAGCTCTCCACTGAACTTCGTTGTTCGCAAGCAGTTCAACCTCACCCATGCCTTCTCGATGCCTTCCAGTTCTTATCTCAAAAAGACAAAATCTCATAACTTTTTTCTTTTTACAGCAATGTTTAGCGAGCAGTTGGGAGAATAAATATTTTGAGCAACGACTTAAAGGATCATGACCCAGACATTATAACACTAACGTAAAGATACCTGTGAAAGATGAGGTTTTCTCCAAGCCGACAAATCCACTGTGGCCACAGGGGACAGGACTTTGTTCTCCTTCCCATGCTCCACTGGGTTCTCTGTCGTGACCCGCCGTCCTATCACCGGGGTGGTAGACAGGTCAAAGGTAAAGTCCAGAGTCCTCCCTGGAAGGTCTTTTTTTATCATCATGGCCTCTGCGGACCAGGAGCTGTCGTATGCAGTCCAGACAGAGCTGGCAGGCCGCGGAGGAGGTGTATCAAGATGAGAGGAGTGGGACACGGCCATCTTTAGAATGTCCAGCGACTCTTTCCACAGATTACCCTGCAAGGGAAACAAACCGAGGGTAATTGAGATTACAACTGGCAAAGAAGAACTATGTCTAACTTACATAAGGTATGGCATAACAATCGTTTTTTGAAATAGGTAGCTTTCAACTAATCAACTAGAGATCCTATCAAAAAATATGCACAACAACGTCAGAAAAAAATATTGAATACATTTACCACTAAAAATGAAACCTCGTTAAAGCGAATAGAATGGTTATTTAAGAAAACTGTACTAAGAAACCAACACCTATACATGAAAGCCTTCTATCTTTTCTTAGTTCATTTTGCTGTTATTTTCTTTGACAAGTAATGTTTACCTTGAGATACTTGGCTATTGTTTTGAGTGCTTCATTCTGGAAGTGTCTCATGGCTGGCGATGAGAAGTCTGCCAGTCTCATCAGAGCACACAGCATGCCCAGCACAACTTGATGGTACACTGGGGGACCACGCTCTAAAACCTGGTCAACACAAAGCAGCTAGGTCTCAGAGAAAGCACAACTGCAAGCGACTAATGGAACCCGAATTTCTCTCCAGGCAAGAGAATAAAATTGCCCCTGTTTTGTCTGTGGTCGCCACCGACTGTAATAAGACACGTTCTGATGGAAACTACTTCGATGAGGTTGGCTTACAATGTTGCTTGAACAACCCAACCATGACAGATGACAGCACCCTCTCCAGAGCCCCCCCTCCCCAAACCCCCATCTCACTTCTTCCTCGATCGACTACCCAAGAGCCATAATTCAATACTGTACATAACGTATCTAGAAAGTCTCAATGGGGCAACAAATCTGTTGAGTTGTGGCTGGGTTATAACTGACCAGCTTAGAAGATAACTTTGAGAGAACAACAACGCGAATTCCTTGATATACTGATGATACCTCTAGCAGGAAAGTGATATGTGATCTCGTGAGATGTCCAAAGGAATCATTGATGTATCTGCAGACCGAGTCAAGCCACGTGGACCGTGGCCTGTGATAGGATTTCTCAATGTACATCTCGAACAGCTTGCCTAAATGAGCGAGATTCCCTGAACTGTTGCAAACCTGAAAGAAATCCAGTCCATTAGATTACTAACGACACTCGGTGACGAGTAAAAGTATCAAGCAAGTCACAAGCCGCGGATAATATGGCATTGTGTAGGCCGACTGTGTACTGGATTACCTGCACTATATTATGAGCACATGTCTTGCTAAACTCGTCAGGTTCGTCAAAATGTTCCAGCATGTGCGGCAACAAGGCCAGCACGTTGAGTGCAAAACCTGTGGAAAACAGATAACATAAGGCTCCACTTAAGCATCTATACGCCTCTGAGTAATTGTTTAGTGTTGTGTCATTGCATTTTAGTCACAACTTTGTTAAATTAATTCTCCTCAGAGTGTCACTTATTTCTTAAGACATAAGTTCAGGGAGTCAGGGACGTTGTTATAAATATCTACTGAGAAAATTGCACAAAAACAGGAATGCCAGGAAGCAGAAAAACAGGAACACTCACCTGCGGCCTGGGACGGATCCACCAGACTAACGTTTGAGAACACAGTAAGTTTGGACAGCAGGTGAAGAGAAGGCTCAGAAGTAGCTGTGTTCGTTACACCCTGAAATACAAGTCACGCAATCCAGCACAAATAAGATCATGTCACGCTATAGGACTAACCTTTATGTGTGTTTCATTCAGTCGTAAAAATAACTAACATGGATGAGAAGAATGAGTGGAGAAATCTCAAACAAGTGTTGGCGATAAACGACAAGTACAAACCTTGAGCAGCAGTGCTTGTAGTCCTGGAAAATCATTCCACTTGAGCCTGTGTAGAACTTTGTCGAGTTTTTCCCTGGAATCGTGTTGACTCAAGTCCAGAAAAGACAGTACCTATAATTAAAGAAACAAAAGATAAAAATCAATTCATAGTACAGGCACCTACAAAAAAATCCTGATGATTAAAAGTTCATAAAACAGCAGTTTGAGAAGAAAGCATGTGCTACACTGATTAGAGACTCGGACAATTAAAACGTATTTTGAAAATTTGGTTCCATCCCTCTATCTCATGCTGTTCGCAAAATAGTAAAATCATAACTAGTTCAGCCATACATCGTGGCGTGCATTCGGCAACACAGGAAGTGGCGTTACAAGAACTTGTGATGACGACCTCAATTACAAACCACGAAAGGACGTTAGTTTTGGCTTCGCAATACAATACAATGAGATACTAACCTTGTTGAGCAGATGAATAGCCATAAGGAATTCATGTTCATAATCAGATTCGAGTAACGAGACAGCGATCCAAAACACTCGGGTCACCATGTCTGCTTGACTCTGAGGATTGATGGCCTCAGAAGGTGTCTTTAGACACTGTACACTGACGCTAAACAAAAAAATCACGCAAAAGCTTAGAAATTCAAGCGTAGTGTATCACAAAACCAAGCACCCATTCGGAGCGAAAATTTGTATGAATATTAGTTTTCAGCTGTTCTTATACATCAGTTAAGTAAAATGTCAGGAAGATCAATAGTTTTGTAGTTCGAATTTTTGTGGCGTCATGTGAAAACCAGCTATATCCGAGAGTTGTGCTGATGCTGTGCCAATCTTACTTGAAAAATTAGAGAAATCAGATAACATGCAATTGATTCATTTACAATTTGCTGACAGGAAACTCAAGCTCCTCGTAGTCAAATTGTTAATTATTCCCTTCATTCTTCACGCTATATGCTGTCCGACTCGTCCCCAGTCACCCTTCCACCTCGCCCCTTGCCGCGCGCTGTATGAAGACAACTGGGAACGAGTCAGGTATGTTGTTTAGAAGAAGAGTCGTTGGTGTTACTTCATTTTCACCTTTAATTCATTTGTTTTTTTTCTCGCTATGATGAAATAAAGACCACATTAAAATAATTTAAATAATCTCACTACTTCAACCGTATCAGAGCGAGTCTTGCTATTATTTTTCGCGATTGACTTACCCTATGTAACAAATTCAAGTTGGTACAAACTAAATTCTCCCAGGAACAGCCATAGAAAATTACGGAAAATGTAAAGAGAAATTTAATGGCAATCGCCGGTGATAGTCAGCCTGAAAAAATTAATCTACTCACTACTGGGATTAAACGGTTAACCTATTACGACAAATTTAAACCTGCTTGCAGCCACAATAAATTTACACATGACCTCAGATACCGCTTAAAGGCCAGGCATAATAAATATACAATCCAAATAATGATCCAGAAAAAAATCTTTCATTAAAATGTTTCATGCTCTCGTTATTCTCTTTAAACAATGAGCACAGTTAATCTCTTGCAAATGGTTATCTCTGATTACAAAAAACACATTAATTACCTCCTCCAAACCACCAAAATCTACACTATACACTTTGAAACCCTAAATAATCTGACTGAATTGCGTCCTCTACATCTATGAGCCAATACAAAAAGCTTATTTCTTCCCATTTCTACTAGCCTTACAAATTGGCTTGACATGTCATTTAATTGTAAGTATCTCTGTGCTGAACGAGAAAAACATCTTCTAAACATTGGAAATCAGGACACAAAGAAAATTCGAGGGAAAACAAGACTACCTTCCCAACATGGTGCGTACAACATCAGCAGCAAAGAATCTAAAGGAATTCAAGCTAAGAGTTTAAATCCTCAACGGCGGCAAGAATAGCAACGTTGACTTCCATCAGATCCCTGCATAACGACGCGAAGGTCTGTAACGGGCCTGACATGACCAGAGAGCCGACATTTTTCTCCGCTACCTGCTTGCAATAAAAAGACACCAGACAGTCCAAGTTGTCTTCGTCTGAACTACCAAACGCTTCACCGTCAAGCTTCTCTCTAAAAGCTCGCACGAGAAGGATGGAACGTTCGATCTCCCGACCGGACAGCTTGTCCACGAGCAGTTGAACAGCGGAGTCTCTTGTGAGGGGTTTGTCGTCCAAGTAACTTTTGATGAAGGCGCTGTCCTCCGAGATGGGGTGCTCCAGAACAGAGGACACCTCTCGGCGAAACTCGCTCACCTCCTGTGTTAAATCGTTGACCTGTGAATTGAAGGAATATCAAATAGAAGACTTAACCAGGACGACTTCTAAACGAACAATTTCGACATTCTGAGACACGTGAAAGTTAACTCTGTCAACTCAAAATAAAATGAAATGACGGGAATTTTCCCGTCTTTGTGCACCGTAAATCAGAAAAGCGAGGCTCCAGTCCTATTTTTTCTCACAGCCGTGTTCCAAGGCATTCTCGTTTCGGGATTTTCCCTCTCGCCCGAATAATACGCATGGCCCTTAATCTTATAATCATCTCCATAATGATTGAGATTCTCTCCACGCTGTCTCGTAAAGCGAAATGACGTGATTATGATCCTAGCCACAACACTAAGACATACGAACAGAGGTTTTATTCACAATTAAACAGTGAACGCACATCAAGGCAGTTTTCTGATGACTGTAAAGAAGCGACAATCGATCCCATAACAACGACTCACTACAGCACGCAAACAGTCTAATGAACCAGCCAGGTGGCTGTTCACAAAAGCGTATTAAAACATGAGCATAAGTAACTACTTAAGAAGTCATCCATAACTTACCTCGGCCTGCCGAGCTGCTTGTACCAGAGATTCCAAGAGCCGGGCGTAAGTGCTACAGAAGAGTAAGAATTGAAAATGTGCCTTGTACAGACAGCGACATAGCTGCACCTGTCTCGCCTCTTGATTCTCAGGATCTGGTGACAGCCGAGTCTCGGGGTCCTCGTGGTGTGACCCAACAGAAGATCGCTTCACCGCCAGTTTGATCTCATCTAGGCACTCCAGCGTCCGCTCGCTCTTTTGTACGTAGCTTGAGAAATGTGAATGAAGTTCCAAGACTGCAAACTTGTGCCTATCAAGCAGCTTTGTTCGGTTTAGCGTCTCTGTATCGATGCAGACGAAAGGACAATCGCCTCGGGACACTAAAAACTCCAAGGTGTTAGAGAAGTGCTGGGCCACATCTCGGAATTTATCCTCCACCAGATAGTTACAGCATTCTCGTGTCAAACTGTAGAATTTTCTGCGCGTGTTCTTGTACAGACAACAGAACAAGGAGAAAGTGTTGACAGCAATAACCCCTGTGGTGTCTTTCACCAAGGCACCCACGTGGGCTGTCCATAGCTTCTCGGGCTCATCGCGTGAGTCCCACGTGATCTCAGTGACGGCGAACAGCTTGTACGAGTAGCTGGTTTCCGAAGCGCCTGGTAACGAGTCCGAGCTACAACAAAACAACATTGGAAGCTAATTTATAACTGTGGTATTTTACAATGCACAGTTCAACGAATTCCCATGTATTGACAGGCTGATCATAACGTGGGACATAACTACCAAAAAACACCTTTCCAGCCGCTTATGTGACCTGGCGAGGCAATAAGCACTTCATATTTACCTCTCGACAGATGGACTGCGGCTCTCTCTTCCCTGTTCCTGACTCTTAACGTCACTGTCAATCACAATTACAGTCACGTTAGGTGAAGACTCCGACGAGCTTTCCAGCGCTGTGGAGTTGTCGGTAACTACGGTCAGCGCACTAGCAGTTAAGGAACGAGCAAGCTGGAATGAAACGTAGCACAATAAGAGAAAACCAGACATCTTTTCTCCTTACGTAGATTTTACTCTCTTTCAATAATAGAGCTAGATTACTGGAAATCATGCGAGTTACTTTACCGAGAGTAATTCTGTTCGTCACCAGTTCAAAAGAATCAAAGGATGCTTTCAATCTCCAAGAAATGCAAAGTTAAGGAGTTGCAACGTGAATATTTACCAAAATAAAAGCTGTAATTTCAAATCGTAGATTGTAATTTGTCTCAGTCCTCGCCAATCGTAATCACCCTTGTTCGTTTTGCTCCATTATTACCTTAACAAGCCGAACAGGTTTTCTTCGACCTTAAGCACTTTAGAACACTTCAAACAGAAAGTGGCTCTTGCCAATATTGAACAGTACCTCATCGTCATCGTCAGAGGAGTCGTGTGGAGTCAGATCCTGCTCACTGCCCGACAGACACTCAAGAGTCTGCAGGTTGGATTTCATGTCTCGATCCAGACTTCCCACGTCCAAGCTACAGTAGGATAAGCGCCGATCCTCGTACTCAGGCCCCCACGACACGTCTTCGGCCTCGTCGTCGTACAAGAAGTCGAAATTTGTCAGCACACTTATCTGAAAGAAACACAATTCAGCCATGAAGCTTGTTTCTACCTTTTTGTTTTCTCTTTTGGATTTTACGAATGCGTTTTATACCGTTTTCATGCAACTCCAAGGCACCCATGGTCAGTTGTGTTCGAGCACAATTAAATTTTCGTCCTTTCGAAAACGAGTAATACAAGTCACATTTAACAATTATTTCACTGTTGGTTTAGTACACCCAAACCTGTGTAAACCCCCGAATCCTTAGACGACTGTTTAGTTATGAAGAGATGCATGTCACTACCAATTAACAAAAGGTACGGGATGTGTATGTGTGGCTACGTGTAAATATACTTAGACAATGCGATCCACTTCTTTGCAACATTGAGCAATAGTGAGACCGGGCGAGTAAATCATCCCTTTTTTCAAGCTGACCAATTTAAAATTCGTATCACTCAGGAAACTAAACAGAAGGTTTCTGTTTGCCATATTTATGGTAAAACAATATTTTCTGCTTATGCTGAATGAATGTTCAGAACGGACCTGTTGTGGTTCGAGTTCATCCTTGCCAGGCTCATTAGTCAGCCCTTCAGCCAGTGACGCCTCCTCAGATGATGGCTGTTGTCCGGCGCCTTGCTTCTCCACTGCCAGGTCACTGCTCGAGCTGAACACAACAGATGGGCTCTGCTTTAAGCCTACCGTGTGACCACATGTCGTCAAGACGTTCACGAGGCGTTCACGAGTACGACGCTAGAATGACAGTAAAAAACACAAACAGTAAGACAGCCTTGACCAACACGTATACACAGCCATTTTCAAAGAAATCACGCAACGCTAATCCAACGAAATGTTTCGTGAGCAGAAGTATCACGTCACGACAATGAGAGCGAATGCACGGACAAAATATCATGGTCCCTCGTGAGGCAAAGGGCTTCCACCATAGCTCTCCACTGAACTTCGTTGTTCGCAAGCAGTTCAACCTCACCCATGCCTTCTCGATGCCTTCCAGTTCTTATCTCAAAAAGACAAAATCTCATAACTTTTTTCTTTTTACAGCAATGTTTAGCGAGCAGTTGGGAGAATAAATATTTTGAGCAACGACTTAAAGGATCATGACCCAGACATTATAACACTAACGTAAAGATACCTGTGAAAGATGAGGTTTTCTCCAAGCCGACAAATCCACTGTGGCCACAGGGGACAGGACTTTGTTCTCCTTCCCATGCTCCACTGGGTTCTCTGTCGTGACCCGCCGTCCTATCACCGGGGTGGTAGACAGGTCAAAGGTAAAGTCCAGAGTCCTCCCTGGAAGGTCTTTTTTTATCATCATGGCCTCTGCGGACCAGGAGCTGTCGTATGCAGTCCAGACAGAGCTGGCAGGCCGCGGAGGAGGTGTATCAAGATGAGAGGAGTGGGACACGGCCATCTTTAGAATGTCCAGCGACTCTTTCCACAGATTACCCTGCAAGGGAAACAAACCGAGGGTAATTGAGATTACAACTGGCAAAGAAGAACTATGTCTAACTTACATAAGGTATGGCATAACAATCGTTTTTTGAAATAGGTAGCTTTCAACTAATCAACTAGAGATCCTATCAAAAAATATGCACAACAACGTCAGAAAAAAATATTGAATACATTTACCACTAAAAATGAAACCTCGTTAAAGCGAATAGAATGGTTATTTAAGAAAACTGTACTAAGAAACCAACACCTATACATGAAAGCCTTCTATCTTTTCTTAGTTCATTTTGCTGTTATTTTCTTTGACAAGTAATGTTTACCTTGAGATACTTGGCTATTGTTTTGAGTGCTTCATTCTGGAAGTGTCTCATGGCTGGCGATGAGAAGTCTGCCAGTCTCATCAGAGCACACAGCATGCCCAGCACAACTTGATGGTACACTGGGGGACCACGCTCTAAAACCTGGTCAACACAAAGCAGCTAGGTCTCAGAGAAAGCACAACTGCAAGCGACTAATGGAACCCGAATTTCTCTCCAGGCAAGAGAATAAAATTGCCCCTGTTTTGTCTGTGGTCGCCACCGACTGTAATAAGACACGTTCTGATGGAAACTACTTCGATGAGGTTGGCTTACAATGTTGCTTGAACAACCCAACCATGACAGATGACAGCACCCTCTCCAGAGCCCCCCCTCCCCAAACCCCCATCTCACTTCTTCCTCGATCGACTACCCAAGAGCCATAATTCAATACTGTACATAACGTATCTAGAAAGTCTCAATGGGGCAACAAATCTGTTGAGTTGTGGCTGGGTTATAACTGACCAGCTTAGAAGATAACTTTGAGAGAACAACAACGCGAATTCCTTGATATACTGATGATACCTCTAGCAGGAAAGTGATATGTGATCTCGTGAGATGTCCAAAGGAATCATTGATGTATCTGCAGACCGAGTCAAGCCACGTGGACCGTGGCCTGTGATAGGATTTCTCAATGTACATCTCGAACAGCTTGCCTAAATGAGCGAGATTCCCTGAACTGTTGCAAACCTGAAAGAAATCCAGTCCATTAGATTACTAACGACACTCGGTGACGAGTAAAAGTATCAAGCAAGTCACAAGCCGCGGATAATATGGCATTGTGTAGGCCGACTGTGTACTGGATTACCTGCACTATATTATGAGCACATGTCTTGCTAAACTCGTCAGGTTCGTCAAAATGTTCCAGCATGTGCGGCAACAAGGCCAGCACGTTGAGTGCAAAACCTGTGGAAAACAGATAACATAAGGCTCCACTTAAGCATCTATACGCCTCTGAGTAATTGTTTAGTGTTGTGTCATTGCATTTTAGTCACAACTTTGTTAAATTAATTCTCCTCAGAGTGTCACTTATTTCTTAAGACATAAGTTCAGGGAGTCAGGGACGTTGTTATAAATATCTACTGAGAAAATTGCACAAAAACAGGAATGCCAGGAAGCAGAAAAACAGGAACACTCACCTGCGGCCTGGGACGGATCCACCAGACTAACGTTTGAGAACACAGTAAGTTTGGACAGCAGGTGAAGAGAAGGCTCAGAAGTAGCTGTGTTCGTTACACCCTGAAATACAAGTCACGCAATCCAGCACAAATAAGATCATGTCACGCTATAGGACTAACCTTTATGTGTGTTTCATTCAGTCGTAAAAATAACTAACATGGATGAGAAGAATGAGTGGAGAAATCTCAAACAAGTGTTGGCGATAAACGACAAGTACAAACCTTGAGCAGCAGTGCTTGTAGTCCTGGAAAATCATTCCACTTGAGCCTGTGTAGAACTTTGTCGAGTTTTTCCCTGGAATCGTGTTGACTCAAGTCCAGAAAAGACAGTACCTATAATTAAAGAAACAAAAGATAAAAATCAATTCATAGTACAGGCACCTACAAAAAAATCCTGATGATTAAAAGTTCATAAAACAGTAGTTTGAGAAGAAGGTATGTACTACACTGATTAGAGACTCGGACAATTAAAACGTATTTTGAAAATTTGGTTCCATCCCTCTATCTTATGCTGTTCGCAAAATAGTTAAGTAAGTAAGTAAGTAAGTAAGCCAAGTTTATCGTATATATACACATGCCTAGTTCGGCCATAAATCGTTGAGTGCATTCGGCAGCAAAGGAAGTCACGTTACATGAACTTCTGATGACGACCTCAATTACAAACCACGAAAGGACGTTAGTTTTGGCTTCGCAATACAATACAATGAGATACTAACCTTGTTGAGCAGATGAATAGCCATAAGGAATTCATGTTCATAATCAGATTCGAGTAACGAGACAGCGATCCAAAACACTCGGGTCACCATGTCTGCTTGACTCTGAGGATTGATGGCCTCAGAAGGTGTCTTTAGACACTGTACACTGACGCT